ATATATATATATATTGTATAACCCAAGATCAAAAAAAATATATATATATATTGTATAACCCAAGATCAATATATATATATATATATATATATAACAATGAGTTGTGGGTCGAAACATCCAGAATGCTTTCACAAATAACTTCAATGCAAAAGCTAAAACTCCAGTTCCTACAGGATTATTTCCCAAACACAGGAAAACAATAATCTACATAGGCTGGAATATGAATGGACCTTTATGGCTAGGCGTTTTCCTTTTCCAGAAAATATCTTGCCCTTTTGGAAAGTTGTTTTCAAACTTTTCCCTCGGCCATTTTCCAAAAAGAATTTCTGTTGACTGCATTTTCCTGTGCATGCCAAACACTAGAAATTTCTTGTGCATGCCAAACACAGCCAAACATTAGAAAATGATTAACATATTTTCCTAGAGTCATTTTCCACAAACCGAACGGACCCTTAGAGAGTTCTGAAACAACCCAAGTACTGACTGATCCATTCCACAAAAGTTTAATATAAACTCCATACCTAGCAAGACTCATGGATGTCAATGAATTCACAAGCCAGCAATTAACATCAAAATGAAAAAGGTAATAGCAAACTTTCTGCTAGATATTAACATTACTTTCAAGTCATAAGCTTGTTAGGTGCAATCAACACTATTTTACTCAGGCATACACCTCTCTATCACATAGAAAGATCATATGTCCAAGCCATAGCATTTGACCAAACTACAGAATGTATAAGTAATGATTACTGCTTAATAGAGAATAAAAGTTTCATAGGACTTTACCTCCCCAAACATGTCACGTCAAGATCTATCATCAGTTTTCTACCACTCTCAAAATCAATGAAGGTAAGCTGCAGATCAAGCTGATCAGCTGCAAACCAATAAGATCATATTAATAGAAGTTTTCATCTGGCAGAAGGGAAAAGGGGATAAAAGAAAAGAGGGGAAGAGGGTTGGAGATGCATGTGCTTGAGCCTTGTATTGAGTTTTTAAAAAAACTAGTAACATCATGGTGAAGCAACTTAACCTGTGTGTTTGCATAGATTATTTTGCAATTTGAAACATGTTATAATTTTAGTCTAGAAAACAAAATAAAAAAAATCAAGTGAGTTCAACAAATGACTCACATACCAATTATGAAAGAACCCAAATATCTTCAAAATAGAAAGCTGGTAAGAACTTTATTTTAAAAGTAAAGATTTTAGATGTTACCCATCTGCAAGTTATGATATTCAAACAAAGCTGTCTGTAAGGATATTGATGCAGAACAAGTTAAATTAAAAATAATTGAACTGACCAAGCAATAAATGGCAGATATTTTATAACACAAGGGTCATGGAAGCAGTCAATTATGGCAGAAGCAAAGATTAAATTTTCGTAGTTTTTCACCATTATTTAAAGGAGACTTCAACTTGAGGAGGTGGACTAGCTGGAGAAATATCCTATATGACGTAATAGATATCTAAAATGTTATTATGCAGCTTATCCTACCACTAATATGTAAAGCAATGCTGGAAGAGTCCGAACTAAACTGCCCTCTACTCAAACAACTGAAAATACCATGGTGAAAGATAATGACCACAAGATCAATAGTTGCCCCAGAATGCATTGATATCAAAATTAGACAGCAGTTGAGATCTAGTCATCAATCTCTAGTTAGTTTCCTGAAAATGAGAATCGACTTTCAAGTTTTACTAAACTTTTTATCTAAGGATGTTCAGCAGTAATAAAAAACCAACCAGATTACAAAAAAAAAAAAAAAAGAAGAAGGAAAAGTGTACCAGATGATTGAAAACTAGTTTGTGTAAGACTACTGATCTCAATCTGTGCTAGCTGTACTTCCTTGAGCACATCCAGGAGATTACTTAAAATTAAACTTGTTCTCTGCATATAAGAAGTCAGAATCACAATGAAGTGAAGGAAATTCCAACAATGCATTGGTCTCAAAATGCTTTGCAATTAGTGAACAAGAAAGAAAGCAGTATCATTACTAATAAGGCTTCTCAAAAGCAAACATACTGCAAGGGACCAGCAAATGAATTGCTAATATTATATATCTTAATCTAAAGTTATTGGTTTATTGCCTCTTTTCCAACAAAAAAAAAAAAAAAATCATATCTTAATTTTAAGTCAAACATGATTCAGGTGCAAGATCAATGTAGAGTTTTCGACAGAAATTAAAGTAAAACATTTGTATATTTCTATAAGATAAAAGCATACAATAAATAATGATGCAAAAATACTTACTTGTGTTTCTTGTGCCAGACTTCTGGAATTAACATACTTCTTGGCTGTATCAGGTTTGAACACAAATTCAAAGACAGTGCAAGCATCCATGTTTGGAAAGTTCTAATGAATAAGAAGCACTGAAGTTTAGAAATAAGTATGACAGATTGAAAGAAAAAAAAAAAGTGGGGGTTCACTAGATTACCCTCTTGATCTTTATATCATTCAAATTGTTTGAAACAGAAATGCTTGAAAGTGGACCAGCGTTTAGTGTGAGCCTGCATATTATCGAAACAGAAGAGTTTATATATAAAGAACTTTGCCAATGTAATCAAGATTGCAACTATCTGTCTGAAACGTAAAATGTTTAAAGAAGAAATTCCCATAAAAGAAGCAACCTCTGGCAGATAAAACCATGGTAGTTGAGAACAACAACGTGATGACCATTCCTATTCAACAAACCATCAATCCTCCACAACTGATAAAATAACAAACAGGAATTTTCTCAGTCATATAAAATATATAAGTTTTTAGCATGCAATAGCAAGAGTTAAAAACACCTGCATATCCTGGCAAACAAATCTGCAACAAGTTCTCTTCTTGAGCTGCTCATTAAGTAATATAATGGTGTCAGCAGAATTTGGTTCTCCTTTCAGCTTGTAATAGTTGTGAAGAGAGTTGGTCAAATTTTTTATTTTCCTTTTGAATGCTTCAACCTCATGCTTCATTGTGGTGACTTTGTCATTATCAGCCTGCAGTGATGGAAATTAAATGTAGTTTTACAAACTGAAAATAAATCAAGATGTTCCATAACATAATAGATTTAGTAGCAGCACAGTGAAATGGTATTATAGAACAATGCCAAAGTAGAACAGTGAAAAACATAATTGCCAGCAACATCCAGCAAAAAGCACAGAAGGTCGCATATTGAAGTGTGAGAATAATTTCTTTTATAAAATACAGCTAACCACTTTATTATTTTTAGAAATTATACGAAATTACAAATGTTTTACCAACATTTGTATTTGAACAGAAAACATGTTCTGATACATGGTGAGGAACACTTCAGCTAAGACAACATGCAAAGATGATTACCTACAGATATTCATAGCCATAAGAAGTGGTCTCCATAAACACACCAATGCAACAGGAATTGGAAATTACATAATGCAACATGGAAAGAAGAATTGTGTTTCTCTATAACATAATATGGCTTCAAAAATAGAGGGCAGGCTACTTGGGTGATTGACATTTTTATGCCAAGATCACTTTTTCTTGATACATTTGTCTTTAGTTTTTGAATTAGGAAAATGCAAACCCAGAATGAAACAAACAAGAAAAGGCAGCAGCAAATATTAGAGGGACAAAACAGGCCCACATCTAGAAATAGATATCTATAATTCATGTTTGCCATAAAAATTAACCAGCATGAATTATCATTAGCTTGAGTATTCTTTTCAGCATGTGGAGACAAATCGCTGATGCAGTTCAGCTTCAACATTTGAGCTTCCTGGACTCCTGTTCTCAGCATCTGTCCTCGGTTCTGCATGCAAGTATTTGGGTAGGTGAGAAAAAATATGGATGCCCAAGAATGCGAACAAACAAAAGGAAAAGACGAGTACCAGTAATCTCTCATGCTTCACATGCATTAACTGCAATTTAACCTTTTCATAGAATAATCTGCTTAACATGGTCCTTGTTTCAGCTACTCTGCAACAGCATCAATCATCAACTTCACCACTTGCAATGCTAATTCATTGATAAGTTAAATAAGTTCATTCATGATACATAATATAGAATCACCTCATATGCCTAACATCAATGAACTTGTCATATGTCTGTTGCAATATAAGAACAATGTCAGCATGAAATTGCTAGTCAAGTTTTATTGATTGGGCAAGTAGAAAAATGAGCAGGTTAACACTTAAGATGATGGTTTTGGCTCTGTTTGATGTTGCCATTTCAAACAGCCTGTAGCTAATAATCAATATCAAATAGTTGAGTGTTTGAATTATAAAAAAAACAACAAATAACAACCATTGGATATCCACTATCAGCTATAGGCTGTTTGAAATGGCTAAACCAAACAGAAACTTTACTTGTTTGGCATACCTGGGATTGGATTTCTGAACAAAGCATCTGCAATACGTTGATTTTTTGCTGATGAACCAGCATATCTGCCAGGTGATCTATCTACAAATTGATAATAGAGAAAAACATAAGGAGCTTAGGCACATAAATGGGGACAGTAGAAGCATAAAACAATCTGGTTACCATGGATATTTTTTCTATATCCTGAATTTGTAAATATGTTAAGAGTGAACAAAAATTTGAACAGAGAAGAAAATGGGCATGTACCACTCTCATATTTAGTTTGGCAATAAATGGAGAAACCAATTGACTTGTGTCTGCCACTAATTTAAGTGAAAGCTGCATTTGATGCTCTTAAGTTAAGATCAGTAGGAAGAATGAAAAGGAAAATTCTACACTTTGTAACAGTAAACCTGGATAAGCAAGCAAGATATGAAACAGATTAGCAACATGGTACACATACATCAGTCCTATTCATCCATTTGCCACCTCTATTGTTTTCATTTCCCTTATTACTCCCATCAGCATATTCCAACATGAACTCCAGATTATTTTCCCCAACTCTATGAACTTTGGGAGTCCACTGGATCTCGTTAGTCCTCTCTGTATGATCTGCTTCCCCAAGAGCTATTTCTTCAGTTGTTCTTTTACGTTTTGTAGACTTCTCAAGATCTTGTTCAGGATTTGGATCCCATAAAACATGAGATCCTTGATATCTTTCATCAGTACCTTGTAAATATGAATTGGAGGATGGAAATTGTGCAGATTTTGCTACAAAGAGTTGCAAATTATCACTTTCTGACATCTTATGCGAATCTTTCCTAGAGAGACTCCAAGTTGATTCCTTTGCTGTGGGACTCTGAGTTGGATTCCTTGTAGAGGAGCTCTAGTTCAAGCAATAAACCAAACTTTATATAAAATGAAGGATCTTTAAATAAAACTCATGTATTTGCATTGTAAAAATGCCAACAACTTAATTGTGATGCCTGTTGCATGAGTGAGAGAGAGAGAGAGAGAGAGAGAGAGAGAGACCTTTTGAGGTGCTTGTTCATTTGTACTTCTTCCATTTGCAGCTGGAGAAGCATAAATACAAGATGCATCTGTCCCTTCTTCAAGAAATTTCTCAGCAGAGCCAGTTATGTTGGTTGCCTTCTCGTCATTCTTCTCTGGACTTCCTGAATGTAATTTATGGGCAATCCCATCCCTCGGAAGAGAATGGAAGTTCCTCAAGGCTTCGGATGCATTTTGATGATCAAGTCCATAATTTTCTCTGTCATCCACCCTTTTCACTTGAGTTAAGTCTTTTAAACTGTTAGCCTCAATGAAGGTTGAGCTAGGCGGTATCCTTTCTTCAGCAACTGCATGTATTGAACAGTCATCTTGTCTGGAGCTAGGAACAAGTTCATCATCCTGATCTTGTTGGCTCAAATTACCTAAGAGACTGTCATGATATTCTACTGGTGATGATAACTTCTGATCTAATCTCCTCACTGGAGAAGAAACAATTTTATCAGACACATCGGCATCTCTCTTATCTTTACCTTGATCAAGCTTGATCTCCATCAATGGGAAATTATTTTCAGAAGCAAAAGGTGCTCCATCCACCAAATGTTTTGGCATCAAGGAATGATCCAGGATCCCTTTATTTACCGACTGTGCAAGCTTAGCAGGTGAAGCCATTACTGACCCATTTTGAGTTAATTTATCTCCACTCCCTTCATCTCTCATGGCCAACTCATCTTGGCTCAGACCACTGATGGCCTTCAGAGTTCCAATAACATCACTATCTATGCTGACCATATTTTTAAGTTGTTCCTGCTTCAAATCGACAGTAGATAATTGATCCTCCAGATTAGTGAAGGGGACATCTACATGTTGAACCCAAAGGCCTTCGCCTGATTGATCTGTAACAGAAATGAAACGAGAACTTTTAGAAGAAACAGACCCTGATAATCTGAGTTTTATATTGTCAATTCTGTCGTTCAAAACTGAAACAGAGGGTGAAGGTTGAACAATTTTTGACTTATAGATGCTTTTCAGGAGGAATGATATGCTGCCTCCTTGTTTTATGCAGTCCCTACTTAAAAAGGAGCTTGGTTGTTTTGGAGAAGGAGTAACATATAATGCCATTCTCTGTGAATTTCTAGTATCCAAAAGTATTTGCTCTTGCTTGGCAGACACTGAGGATATGTATCCTGCTGATGGAGAAGTGTATCGTTGATCTAAAACTTGATGAATAATAGGATCATGTCCCTCAACTTCAGGAGAGTTTTCTTTTAAATCATCTCCAGTTGGAGGCAGATTTCCAGATTCAGGCTGTCTAAACATACCCAACTGAAGGACTTCCACACTGTTGTTTGGTGGTGTTCCATTATTAACAGCAAGAAACTCAGAGTTGAGCATACTTGTCCCATTCACAAAATTGGAAAAGTTATTTCTGTCCTGAAATTGGAAATAAGCAAAATATGCATGCAAACTGATGCCTTAGTTCCTCGAACATTGCAGACAGCAAAAGTACTGAAGAAATAAAAAGGTCCTATTTTATGTATTACCTAGGCCAAGAGACAACAGGGAAAAAGACATGAAATTGCTAGTGAAAACAACTGGGAATAGGCAGATAATGTACCAAAAGCAACAGCTGTATCTAAAAATATGATTAATTGCATTGAAGCATGAATTTCTGAAAGCGATCCAGAATAAAAGAAATGTAAAGACTAAAGAGTATCACAATCAGTGCCTAAATATGAGGTGAAAAATATATAACGCATCATCTAAAAAGTGCAAAATGTCTCAAAAAGCACAATACCTGTGAGTCAAAGCATAAATAGTTAAATACTAGATTCAATGAAATCATATTCAAACTTGTAACAAAACCCAATGTCAACCCACTTATCGAGATTACCAAATTAAAAACACCAAGCATAGGGGAAAACAGTCCAACTAACAGAACACTGAAATGAGAACTTACTCTGTTCAGCTGAATAGGAGTTTGGATTTGGCAAGCAACAAAAGTATCGGCACTTGGACCATCATTTTGATCAGACAAGAAATCATGATTCATTTCATCAATAAGAGTGTTTATTGAACCACCATTTGCACTATCAACTTCAATACAAGTAACAGAAACTCCATCAACAGACATACCATGCTTATCAATATTGCATGGTTCTGAATCTACATGATTCTGCAGTTCCACAGGCATATTCCTATCATCATCAGATAAGGAGACTTCACTTCTCTTTAATGACTTCGAGTTGATAGAGTCAGAAGCTGGGATAAAACTGAAATCCTTACTGCTTCCTGCCATAAGTGCTTCCAATGTGGTAGATAGTTTCCCGTAATCATACTTATGCAGGGTTTCCCCAACAAGGCTCATGTCATTGGAATCTTTCCCACTACTACCTTTATTAACAGATATAGGAGATTGAGACATCAGTTTCTTTGCTTTTGTTAGCACCATAATATTTCCAGTATCAGATGGAGTAGCGATCTGCGAAGGTGTTTTCTCTTCAAATGCAAGGTGAACCCCTGTGGGGGTCTTTAAGTCTCCTGACTCTGACCTCACAAGACTACGGAAATGCATTGAAAAAGCTGTGGAATCCATTGTAACTTCATGATGATCATCTGAGGCACCAGAATCAGACAACCGTCCAGGTTGGATAAAGCTCGCTGACACAGGCCCAAAAAAGTTGTCTTCTGGAATTAGAAATTAGAGTTAGACAAAATGCTTCACTACTTATCCTTAGTCTATGAAAAATAGCTGCTATTTAGAAACTTCTAGGATTGCTGATATAAACGCAGGATGATTTTAAGAATAACATACCAATTCCTGATGTCTAACTTCCCCATAATCATATTATTTCCATTTAATCAAGTTACTCAAATAAACAGCCAAAAGCTTCATCTTAAGTCCATGGAACTAAAAATGAAAAATAAAATTGAAATTAAATGTTTACTATAATAGGGATGAAAATCCAAATCTGACCATCATTTGAAGTAGCAGAACCGTTAATGCTACTTCCACCAGGAGAAGGCGACTCAATTGGCCTCAAGAACGACTTCCTTCCAACCAAAAGATCCTCATGGTCTCCATCATCAGAATCATCACTATCGGGCAGGTCCTTGAAGAGGCCTAGTATCTGCTGCTCCTGCTCGGAGCTGGACCTGGGAGTGGAATCAGGGGGAGTTTCATAGTCGTCGTCGCGGTTGAAGATGTGGACGGAGGTGATTTCTCGGTCCGCGAAGCTCACGCGCCGCGAGCGCTTCTTCCTGAGCGCAATTGTCTCCTCGTCCGTCTCCACCGTGTTGCAGGCGTCCTCCGGGTCCTTAGAAGCCATTGGAGAAAGGGAGATAGTGCACTACTGGAAATGTAGAATTTGAGGAGCTTTTGGAAACTATAGATCGGGAATTTTCGGAGTTAGGGTTCGAAAATCAGAGCTAAGTGGCCGTAGTGCAGTGAGAGGATTTTTGCGGGAAGAGAAGGGATCCTGTAGGAATTAGAAATTTGAATGTGCTGTACTTCCCCTTTTTTTGAATTTCCTGCTTTGCCCCTGAACTTTTTCCTTCTCGCTTAGTCTTTTTTTTTTTTTTTTTTAAAACCGTGTATTTTTTGGGTTAATTATAGAACGAACAAAGAACTCTCTCGAAGATGACCTCATGTTCGCCCTCGGAGCCCCCGCCGGTGGACCGTAGTCTCCCTCCTCCACAGCCCCTCCCAAATATTTTAACCTCCATCCAATCCCCTTACGAACCTCTATTTGCTTCAATCTCCCAACAAACACCGATTACCCATCCTAGTTCTACCCCAGTTCCGTCTCCTAAATCCTTCAACGATATGTTGGTGCAGGGAAATTCCTCAATCGAGCCCCCTCTTGTTACTTATGAGGAATTAGTGGCAGCAAACCTCGATTTGGAGACCCAAACCTCGATGGCCGAAGATGGTTCCAGCTCCCCTCAACTAAAGGTCCCCAAAGTTGGAATCCCTAAATCCATATGGGAATGACTTTGTGCCCTGGAAAAATGCAGTTATTATCAAACTCCTGGGGAAATCGGTCAACTTCCATGTTCTACACTCGCGACTGTTGAAATAATGGAGAGTAGGGAATGAATTTGAAATCATAGATGTGGGTCTAGGCTACTATATTGTCAAGTTTTGCTCTCCTCAAGACTGCTCTATGGTTTTAACTAGAGGGCCATATAAACTGTTTGACCACTATTTGGCTGTCCAACCTTGGGAACCTGGATTTCATCCTGCGAGAGCCAAAGCTCCCAAAACTGCAGTGTGGGTTAAGCTGCATGGAGTTCCTATTGTATGCTTTTATGAAGCAAAATTGACAAACCAATTAAAGTTGATCCTACAACCTTCCTTGCAACTAGAGGGAAATTTGCTAGGGTTTGTGTAGAGGTTGATCTCAGTTAATCACTCCTATCATCTGTGGATACTGATTAAGAGGGTTTACCTCAATCCCTCATCCCAATTGAGTTTGAAAGCCTACACAAAATTTGCTTTCATTGTGGATAGTTTGGCCACACAAAGGAACACTGCAAATATAAAAATCTAGGACATTCCTCTCCTGTAAGCAACCCTTGTGCAAAGGCTATAATCGAACTAACACAAACCTTGAAACCAAATTTTGGCGAAAACAACATGGTATTCAGCCCATGGATGGTTCAACAACGAAAGCCAAAATGGCGGCAACTTCCTCGCCGCTCAGTTGAGCATACAGCTAGTGATACTCCCATTAACTCCATCTCAAAAGTCCAAGCACAATCTCTAGCCTCCAAGATTGTCGCCACTTCTGATCCTCAAGATTTAAAGAAAAATAGATTTGCAGTGATGGCAGAGATTATGGAGGAAGATACTGAGCTACTAAATTCAAATGAAGATATTGGGGTGGGAAACTCCTTTAACAATAAGGATTCTATTGGTCCCACCATGCCCATGGATTGTGTTCCTATTGGCCTGCCTTCAGCCCTTTCAACCAACTTTGTCAAGCCAAAACCCAAACAAAGAAAGTCCAAAACTGGGGGTCCAGTCTTTAAAGAAACTAAGCCCCTTACTCCTAAACCATACCATCCCACCAGTCCTTAAGAAACAACAAGAATCCTGTTCTCAGTTGTCTCAACACTCAACCACAGAATCTAGAGAGAGCATGGTTGCCAACCAAAACACGGTGAACTCAATTACTGATCACAATGCTCTCCCCTGTCCTTTGCCTTTGCCTGCCACTATTAATCAAAACCAAAGACAGGTGCTAGCGTTTGAAGACCCACCTATTATGATTGAGATGCATCCCCCCAGGTTGTTGGGCCTACAAAATTAACCCCCACATCTCACTCACAATGAAGATCGTCACATGGAATAGTCGAGGTGTTCGACATGTTCCCTTTCGGAAGGAATGTAAAGAATTACTCAAGATACAAAAACTAGACACTATTTGCTTCCTCGAAACAAAAATTGAGGAGGGTTATCTAGATCTCTAGTTCATGCTCAAATTTGGATTTGATAAGCAACACAAGGTCCACTATTTTGAAAGAGCAGGTGGGTTATGGCTATTTTGGAAATCCTCTTCACTTGATTTGGAGGTAATTGTCTCAACTACTCAAGCCATTCATTGTTCCATCAATGGAAAAAGAACATCCTTTAGTATCACATCTGTTTATGTTCAGCCTCATAATGCCATGAAAAACGAATTTTGATCCTTTTTATAAGGCCTTACCATGCACATCACAGAGAGCTGGATCGTCATGAGGGATTTCAATGACATTGCTAATATTGACGAGGCATCACCAAGAGTTATAAATAGATTTTCTAGTGCATGGCACTTTCAAGATCATATAGAAGCTTGCAACCTACTGTCCAAAGACTTAATAGGTTGTAAGTTCACTTGGGTTCGCAGAACAAATGGGAGAGTTTTGCTACACGAAAGGCTTGATCGAACTTTGCTAAACCTGTCGGGTTTTACAAAATTTCCAAGTTGCAAAGATTATTAATCTACCAAGGTTATGTAGTGATCACCACACTATCAAGTTGCACATAAACCCTACATATCATACTCAACAATAGCTAAACCATTTAGATTTGAAGCAGCTTGGCTGACTCATGTGCGCTTCAAGGACATATTCAATAATGCATGGGCAGCACATGATCACTTTCTTCCTTTAGCTATTAATGCAATCCAAATAGCATGCTTTAGTTGGAATAAAACAGTTTTTGGAGACATATTTCATCGTAAGAGGCTTTTACTAGCACGCCTTGTAGGCATCCAAAATTCATCCCACTACCATCATTCACACTTCTTGCAGAGTTTGGAAGTTGATTTATTAGGAGAATATCACAGAGTGCTACACGTTGAAGAATTGTTTTGGTGCCAAAAATCTTGAATAGAATGGATCACTTTCAAAGACAGAAATACTAAATTTTACCATGCCTCCATTGTTATTCAGAGAGCAAGGAATAAAATCACGGCTTTAAAGGTAAATGACTCTTGGGTAAGAGACAATATTGCCTTAAAGACCCATGTTCGTGACTTTTTATTGGCTTGTTTTCTCAAAAAGAGACAAGAGCCGTGTTTGGGGATTATTCTTGTTTCCAACCTAAATTGTTAGATGCAGCTAGTAACTCTCTAATGCTCCCTATTTCCATAGAAGAGGTTAAAGCAGCTTTCTTTTCAATGAAAGGT